TGTCGATGGGGTGTGTATGGTTTTTGCATGTGCATTTTTCACTTAAAAATTTTGTAGACATTATTTTTATTTCAAAGGGTGTTATGTATGTCTGTTGCTTGAAATATTATGATTAATTATCTCAGTGTTTTACTTTTTGATTGACTTTAGGTCTATTTTCTTTAGCGTAATTGCACTAACTAGAGAGTAGATAGTTCCTCGCAAAGTCTAGTTTAGTTTAGAGCATCAAACAATATAGCGCGTGTTTTTATAAAATATTTGGGTGTTGTGTTATTTTTTTCCAGAAGGGTTTTGTTCCTTTTTTTTTTTTGATGATCTATGAGTCTTGTGTCTGGCCCATGGCAGTACATCGTCGCTCTACTGCGAGAGGCTGCTGGCTCTTGAGGTGGCCAACACCATGTCTCGGCTGTCTCAGGGCTCCAAGTAGCTAGGACTTACAGGGTACCTGCCCTCCGGTTACGGCGCGTGCTATATTTTTTTTTTAGAAGAGATGAGGTTTCACCGTGTTAGCCAGGATGGTTCGGACCTGACCTCGTGATCCACCCGCCTTGCCGCCCCAAAGAGTGCTGGGATTACAGCCATGAGCCACCGCGCCTGGCCTGTTCACTTTTTTTTTTGAGATAGAGTTTGGCTCTGTCGCCCAGGCTGGAGTGCAGTGGCACAATCTGGGCTCACTGCAAGCTCCGCATCCCAGGTTCACGCCATTCTCCTGCCTCAGCCTCCCGTGTACTGGGACTACAGGCCCCGCCACCACGCCCAGCTAATTTTTTTGTATTTTTAGTAGAGACGGGATTTCACCGTGTTAGCCAGGATGGTCTCGATCTCCTGACCTCGTGATCTGCCCATCTCGGCCTCCCAAAGTGCTGGGATTACAGGCGTGAGCCACCGCGCCCAGCCCCACATTCTCATTTTTAGTTTCAGAGAACTTTCTGGTAGAGAATGCTGCCGGAATGGTACTGGCACCTAGCATGGTATCATATCTCTTTAGAAGAGAAGTCTGCCCTTTAAAGAGAGAGACTGTAGACTATACCGTGTGTTGACTACAGCCAAATCACAGCATGTGTGAGCGGAAGCCCCAATCCCTTTGTAGGCCTCTACTTAACATTTGTCCCGGAAGAGGGGGACTTGTAGTTACGTGCTCTGTGATAGCACGTACACGTGTGGAAGCCGCCTTCGAAAACCTGCTTACTCGGACCAGTCTCTTTAGAGCGGGCAGATCATGGTTTCCATAAGCAAATAATTATAAGTTTATGGATTTGTAAGTGAATGTTGGCCATATTAGACTGGATTTCTTAAATTGTTTCCTCCAAAGTATGAGATTGTTGTTTGGGCCTTGTCTCACAGTTGAAGTTGGTTAACTGTGCCCCATCCTACTCCCTTTTTAAAGGAACTCCATGAGGGCAGATAGTGTATCTTCAAGCAATATCAAAAACCGAATTGGTAACAAATTACCACCTGAGAAATTTGCAGATGTCCGACATCTATTAGATGAGAAGCGTCAGCACTCCCGTCCACGGCCACCAGTCAGCAGTACTAAATCAGGTACTGTTCTTCTCTTGGATTCCTGGCTGGATTCTGAGCTCCAGAAAGCAGACTGGGGCAGAGATAGGTTCCTGAGTAAAACGTGTGATCTGTAAACTGATTTAGCTGTCCTGGTTCATCATGTCTAAATTGTGGGCTAGGTGTTGGAAATTCAGGAGATGAAAAATAATCAGACTTCTGAAAAACTAGCTTTAAATATTTTCATTCCAAATAATTAGTTATTCCTTGGTATCTCTGGGGGATTGCTTCTAGGACCCCCTCCCCGCTCCCCTACAGATACCAAAATCTGCAGATACCAAAATCCATTGATGCTTAAGTCCCTCATATAAAGTGACATATTATCTGCATATAACCTACACACATCTTCTCATATACTTTAAGTCATCTCTAGATTATGTATAATACCTAATACAGTATAAATTCTTATCCTGTATTTTGTAAAATTTGTATTATTTTTGCTGTACTGTTATGTCTTATTTTTTTTCCCCAAATATATTCAATCAGCAGTTGGTTGAATCTATAGATGTGGAACCCATGGATGAGGAAGGCCAACCATATTTGACTCTATGACACTGGTATACTTTATATCCAGGAATAATAGAAATTAAGTTGGGTGGTTGTCTGAATGGTTAAGAGTTTGAACTAGATCATTTGTATGTTCAAACACTGATTGCGCAGGTCTTCAGCCGTATCTGCTATGTGCCAGACCCTGGGCTAGGTGCTAGGAATGCTAGAAGCCTTTGGAGGAGACGCAGAGCCACCATAGATCTACTAGGGAAATTGCGAAAGGTTTCTCAGTGAAAGTAGCGTTAGAGCCAGGCTTTGGAGAGGGTAGGATCTCTGTTGGCAAACCTGATTTTTTTTTTACGTGGGAAGTAACCTGATCTTATATCTGTTTTAGAAAGATAACTTGAGGGCGGAGTGGGGTGGGGTAGAGAGTTAAAAAAGTAACAAGAGCCTGAACTAGGTCGGTGGAGACAGAATGGATAAAGAACAGGAAGTCTTGTGAAGGAAGACTCAGTGCTAGGAAGCGCTGGAGGAAAGGAGCTCAGGCCTCAGTGACCGGAGAGACCAGGGTGCTGCTCTCCGAGAGAAGCTGAAGTGAGAGGAGACCTCGGCACAGGGCCTCGCCAATGAGTGTGTTTCTGTTGTTGCTGTCGTTGTGAGAGGGAACTCCAGAGGACAGGCAGATTTCTGGGGGGATTGAGGGATCCTTTGCTTTTTCCAGTCTCTTTGTATTTACTGGTTAAATGTAATACGTTTATTGGAAACTACTTATATGTTCAAAGATTGTGCCTTCCGCTTTCCGAGAGCTCACACGATTTTTTGTTTGCTGAAACTTTTGTAAATTATTTAGTCTGCTTGATTCTGCTTTTTTAAAAAAAAAAAATGGTTGTTTCTTCAGAAATTTAGTTCTGGAGCAGTCAGTTGAGGATTTTTCCTCTGACAGCCCCTATGTCCGAATTTCCCTAGGGATATCCATACTGACTACAAAGGAAGACAACGTAGCAGCCTGATTGTCAGGCCCTGTGTCCTCGCTTGGGGGGCGGGGCAGGGGTTAGTGCCAGATCCTGTAGAGGTCTCAGGCGGCTGGTTCCCAGCATAAAGCACACACATGGTCACTGGTGCAATTTTTCTCTTTTTTCAGATATACGCCAGCGATTAGGAAAAAGACCGTATTCTCCGGAAAAGGCTTTTAGTAGTAACCCAGTCGTTCGGAGAGAGCCCTCTTCTGATGTGCACAGTAGGCTCGGTGTTCCCAGGCAAGATATTAAAGGTCTCTACGCCGATACTCGGGAGAAGAAATCAGGTTGGTAACACTTAAAACCGATGGGAATGGGGATTCAGTGAGAGCAGAGGACAATGGGTGTATTGGAGCAGAAGGCAAGAAACAGCTCTTGACAAACATAAGTGATTATTCCTTTTCCATTATAGTTATCATCAGTATCAGCATCAGCATCATCTCAACAGTAAAGAATGCTTAGAACATAGGAAAAAATAGCACACTCCTGGTTCTTTCTGCTTGGCACAAATCGTTTTAGTTTCATGTGAGCTATCCTGGTCTTTGTCCACATACAAGTCCTACTTTTTTCACATAGCATTTTATCATAGTTGTTTGCCACATTTTATAAACTTTGTAAATAAAACTTTTAGGCCCAGCACGGTGGCTCACACCTGTAATCCCAGCACTTTGGGAGGCCGAGACCAGCCTAACCAACATGGCGAAACCCTTTCTCTACTAAAAACACAAAACTTAGCCGGGCGTGGTGGTAGGTGCCAGCACCACCGCACTTCAGCCTGGGCAACAGAGCAAGACCTTGTCTCGAAAACAAAAACAAAAACAACTTTTAATTGCCTTATAATGTGGCTATCCACCAAATTCTAAACACGTATTTCTCTATTGCTCAATTTTCATGAAATATATTTCAAAAAGTAATGGATGGTGGGCAGAATTTCTGAAATGGTACAGTATAGTAGGCCCATCGATTTGTAGAATGTTGAAGCTGGAAAGGAGCTGGGAATGGCCTACTCCTGGCAGAATGGATTGGCACACCGGGTGGTGTCTCAGCAGGGAAGGGCAGGAGTAGGAAGAAACAGCCTCTCAGGTGATTCTGATGTGTCTGGTGACAGGGAGGGACCTGACCTGTCCCCCACGGTGAGAATCCCCTGCTGGGTCCAGACCCTTCTGTTTGCAGGCCAGGAGCTGCAGCCCAGGAAATGAGATTTTACCTACCCAAGGCTGCACTGTGATGGCGTTTCCTGCACAGCAGGTGTTGGCAATGCCACTGCCCCCTCAGTACCACCCTGGTTCTTAGTGCTGACTGTGAAAGTGAAATGCCATCTCATCCAAACAGGTAATTTATGGACTCGCCTAGGATCTGCACCCAAGACCAAAGAAAAGAATACGAAGAAAGTGGATCACAGGGCACCTGGCGCTGAGGAAGACGACTCCGAGCTGCAAAGGGCGTGGGGGGCTCTGATTAAGGAGAAAGAGCAGTCTCGCCAAAAGAAGAGCCGGTTAGATAACTTACCATCTCTCCAGATTGAAGTTAGTCGGGAAAGCAGCTCTGGTTCAGAGGCAGAGTCCTGATGCCCCTGGGGCCTCTGGCAACTGCCCTAAAACCTGACCTTCTTGCACAGGGTGGGGCGCGCAGTAGGAACCTCCCCCGCAGGGGCTGGCGCCCTCTCGCTCCTGCTCACACAGTCACCCTCTCAGCTCTTGCTACTTCGGCAAGACGTCTGAAGAATGGGACACATTTTCAAGGGCGTCTCTGTCTTTCGCTGCAGAGTCGTAGTTCTGGGCCCTCGATTCCTTTCCCATCACCCCACAGGCTTTACCCTTTGAGAAAAAGGCAGCCCTCCAGATTTTGTAGACATTTTTCTTAATATTTTTAACATTGTGTCTTTTAAAAGAAATGTTTTACACAGTTCATCCAAAGAGCAGAGAACTGAACTTCTCACTATTGCCTTGGCCCTGACAGCTGTTACCAGCACCCTTTTCCCAAGAAAAGTCAATTCCCAGGTGCTTATTGGACATCCTTCGAGGGGGAAGAGGAGGGAAGCGGCCAGCTCACCCTTCCGGGGCCCTAGTGTGGGGGCGAATCTCACCGACCTGACCTCAGAGGTGCACCAGTGCCGCCCAGGTAGATAAGAGCTGCAGCATTGACTGTGCTTCCGTTCTTCCCTCGGGGATTGCTCATGTCATGGGCCTCTTACTTGCTGTCAGCTTGATGTGAAGATCAAGTTCAGTGCTGTGGGATTTTTAGGAACAAAAAACTGTGACGTCTGGATTTGGGGTTGATTTTTGTGCTGGGGGTGGGATTATGGGTTAATGTTAAAGAATTTTTAAGTCTGTATTATGTTTAAACACAAATGATTTGAAAGTTTAAATTTTTAATTTTTATATGTGGAAATTCTTCCTGTTGGCTAAAGGGGAAGCTCGAGTGGTGTCTTCTTTTGTGCTGTTAAATATATATTCTATTCTTTGGAAGAAGGCAGAGAGAGGAGTCTTATTATTTTTAAATGCTTCTAGTTGTAGAGCCTGTCTGTTGTACATAGAGTTCAGCTTGCTTTTTGGCTCCAGTAGGAAAAAAATCCATCCATCTGAGATGGGTCCTGTTGTTTATTATCACTCTAGAAGTTAATACATTGATATTTATTCTTTCTGTCCCCAAGTTGTGGCACCTGAAAACATCTTAAAACTTGGCAGAAAAGATAATAGTTATGAAAATTTTAGTTCATTTATTTTTAAACTCCTTTCAGATTATTTTACCATTAGGAGGAGGTAGATTGTTTCTTCTTGCTGTCTGATTTTTGTTTTGTAGTATTTAATTTTGTATTCCCCTGCAGTTTTGAGAAACAGTGTTTCGCTTCGGTTTGCTGGAACATGGGAGTTAGAGCTGGTCGTAAGCCGTGGTCCTTTTTGCGATGTCACAACTCTTCACCTGCCTGGGCTGTTCCGCACACAGTGCAGCCTGGATCCTGGCAATCTGTACTTGTGGCCGAGCTAATGGTCACATTGATAGTTGATTACACTGTGGCACGAATGAATGCAGAACACTGTTATTAATAAAGGAAGTAAAAGGGCTGCAAGATTTGAGAGCTGCAACAAAAACCGTATTGTCCCATATTTTGTTGATTAACCTGCTTTTTCTCCCTCCCTTTAGAGTATTAGAGCATATAACTGTGATATATTTCAGCTTCCTGATAAGATTCTAGGAGAGAGATGGTTCTGGTTTCTCCGCCAGTTGAGACTTAAGGCATCTGAGATTCCTCAGCTTTCCTTTCCCTGTGAAGCACACGGCTGAGAGCCAGGTTCTTAAGAAGGGTCAGGGGTTGGGGAGTTGGTAGAGTGAGAAGTGCGGGGGTCTGAGAATCAGAGACCTGGATGCCAACCCCTGGCTCTGCTCCATGGACCTGGGCCTCAGTTTTCCCATGTAGCAGTTGAGTGAGCTGGTACCAGAATTCCTGGCTTTGTTGGTGCGTCTCAGTGGCGATTTATTCTTCCCAAGCTGTGATGGCGGTGCGCTGGCCTGCATGAATTTCTGTTGCAGGTGGCTGGAGGAAGCGCCGAGGAGACAACTGAGAGCGAGCGTGAGGTGTGGACAGGGGCTTTTCCCATCCCAGCAGTCTCTCGTTCTGCAACGGGGCAGAGATGTCTTGTGGTCAGGGTCCCAGCTGGCATGGCCTCTGCAGGGTTTAGAATATGCCCCTTCACAGACTTTGCTTTTGGTTTTCCACCAGCAGCTCAGGCCCATTTGTTCCATGGCCTTTCAGCACTCACCAGTCTCTTGCTGGAGATCAGCAAAGACATTCTGGAAGGAGGTGGTGTGCAGTCAAAACTGGGTCTTTGATCTAACCAAGAAAAATACACACTTGAGTAGCCTTCAGTTTTCACAGACACACAGAGAGAACCCGGAAAGGCAGGTTTGACGATTTTACTTCTCGGAGTTACTGGCCTCATTAGCCTCTCTAACCCTTCAGCCCACTCTCAGTCACTCAGATCTTGCAACATCTTGAGTGTGTCCTGAATGACGAGGCCTTTTCTTTGGCGTTTAGGAGTGAGAATGGATAGTCAGGACAGGCCTCTGGCAGGCAGCTGGGCGTGCTTTTACCCTGGACGCTCCCCACACATGTGGGCACAGGGCTACCCACTTTGTGTATTCCTCTTAGTCTCATAGGTAGGAGATTTTAAATCCATGTTTGCTGCTTGATGGTAATTGCAGATACCTCATTTGTTTCCCACTCTCCTCTCTGGAGAGTTACCAGGTACCCAGGAGAACTTGTGGCGTCCACCGCAGGATGGAGTCTCCTTCTCTGGCCCCCTTGTAGTCTGATCCTGTGAACCCCTCCCCGTACTTCAGCCACTGTCCTTTCCAGCTGCATTTGTACAGCAGCCTCTTCACTGGTCTCTGCCCTTTCTCCGTTCTGCACACCGCAGCCGGGATGAACCTTTGTTGTTGTTACCAGCTTAATTAAGATATAATTTGCATACAGTTCAGCCATTAAAAGTGTACACTTCAGTCGCTTTCAGTATATTTACAGAGTTGTGCACCAGGACTGCAATCAATTTTAAAACATTTTTATCACCCAGAGAAACCCTGAGCCCATTAGCAGCGCTCCCTATTCCCTCTTCCCTCTTAGCCTCTTAAGATGAGTCACCACTGATCTTCCTTCTCTCTCTGTGGATTTGCCTGTTCTGGACAGTTCGTATAAATGGGATCATATACTATGTGTCTATTTGTGACTGGCTTCTTCACATATTTTTGGGGTTCACCCATGTCACATAGCATGTATCAGTATTTCGTTTTCAAAAATTAACGAATAATAGTCCATTTTATGGGTACGCCACATTTTTTTAATCCACTTATTGGTTAATGGGCATTTGAGTTGTTTCTACTTTTGGGATATATATATTATATATATATATTTTTTATTTCTTTATTTATTTTTGAGACAGGGTTTCGCTCTTGTTGCCCAGGCTGTAATGCACGATCTCAGCTCACTGCAACCTCCGCCTCCGGGGTTCAAGCGATTCTCCTGCCTCAGCCTCCAGAGTGGCTGGGATTACAGGCACGTGCCACCACGCCTGGCTAACTTTTTGTATTTTTAGTAGAGACGGGGTTTCACCATGTTGGTCAGGCTGGTCTTGAACTCCTGACCTCAGGTGATCTGCCTACCTCGTCCTCCCAAAGTGCTGGGATTACAGATGTGAGCCACCACACCTGGCCCTACTTTTTGGCTATGATGAATAATGTTGCTATGAACATTCCCATACAAGTTTTTGCATGGACAGGTGTTTTCATGACTCTTGGGTTTATGCCTAGGAGTGGAGTGGCTGGGTCCTGATCACCTTTAACCTGTGGAGGAGGCGCCAGGAGGCTTTTCCAGGCGGTGGTGTCATTATCCATTGTCCATTCCCACCAGCGATGTGTGAGGACTCCGGGTTCTCCACATCTCCACCAATACTCACTGTTTTCTGCTGTGAAGTGGTACCTCATTGTAGTTCTTTATTTTTATTTTTTCTTTTTAAAATACATTTTGTACAGATGGGGTCTCGTTATGTTGCCCAGGCTGGTCTCACACTCGTGGCCTTGAGTCATCCTCCTGCCTCGCCCTCCCAAAGTGCTGGGATTACAGGCATGAGCCACCACGCCCGGCCCTCATTGCGGTTTTTGATTTGTATTTCCCTAGTGACTGATGATGTTGGGCACCTTTTCACATGCTTCAGGATGAACTTTCTTAAATATAAATCTGCTTCGATTATTCTTCTGCGTGAAACTTTTCCAAAGCTTCACTATTGCACTGAGAAGAAATTCCACACTCCCGACCGCATGAGCCCAGGAATTCAAGGCTGCAGTGAGCTATGATTAAGCCACTGCACTCCAGCCTGGGCAGCAGAGCGAGACCTGTCTCAAAAAATACGTACACACATCAATTTCCCCCTTTTTGACAGCTTTTTATAAGGCTCACCAAGGTCTGTCCTCTGGCAGTGTCCCTGGCCTGTTCTCCCCATCTCCCCTGCCCTCTGCTCACCAGTTCCCTGAATGCATCTCGATCTCACTAGCCCTACAGACCGTGCACAGAACTGTTTCTACCTCCAGCGAAATACTTCCCCCCAGGCTTCTCCCCCTCCCACCTCAATGTTCCGCTCGCCAACTTAGGGTCTTAGGGGCCCTCCCAGGAGGCAATCCCCAGCTTCCAGAGCCAGGGTCTAGGCTCCTTCTCTGTGTCCCATGGCGCTGCCACAGAAGAGTCTTGGCTCTCTCCAGCATTCAGTTCTAAGGTCAGTGTCTAAGGTGAAAATGGAGGGTAACTGAAATTCCTCTTAGAAATCTAAGGAAGGTGCCATATTGAAGACCAACATCTTGAGGTCCCATGTAGTCATTTCTTGCCCATGTGGGAACAGATTACTGTTTGGTTGAGCACCAGGTGAAGTGATTGGTCTGCAGTTAGGGCTGAGTTGTGCAAAAACCACTTGTTTTTAGGTGTTAGAAGCACACTTAGGCGAGAAGGTCACTTCTGGGGAGCTTGGGAACCGAGGCAGGCCGCAGGGGCAGCAGAGGCGTGAGCTTGCCCACGCCCGCCCTGCTGTCTGCACCCACGGAGTGAAGGAGGGGCCAGCGGAATGGCCCAAACAACGGATTTGTTTTTCTTTTTTACAAAGTTTTTCAGACACATACCATTGTGTTTAAGTGAAATGTGTGTATAATGCCCAGTCACTGTACCCTGTAACCCCGCACACCTCTACACTGGACTGTAATATCTTGTTCCGAGTTTGTCTTGCTAGACTGTAAGCTCCGTGCGAGCAGGGACCATGTCTGCTTGTTCACTGGGCTTTCCCCGGTGCCTGCCAGCGTGCCTGGCATCCAGCAGGTCTTGTGTAAAGATGGGATGAATCTGTAAAACCCTCCAGCCTCAGGAATGGCTCCATCCTCTGAGGCTCTGGGGCCCACTGACAGGCTAGTCATTTTTCTGCCATGTGCGTACAATGCTTTATTTTCATGTTGTATTTTCCTTTCTAGCCGGTAAGCAAGCTCCTGATGAGCCAGGTTCTTTGTGGTGGTGTCTCTGTATCCTTTCGTCAGGCCAGCCCAGAGTGAGCAGTGCTGCGAAAGTGTTTGGTAACTGAATGAATTGTGGTAACGCAGCCCAGCTCCGGCATGACTGTCTGCAGGTTAGTCTGATTCTAGATGAGAGCCCCAGCTTCGAAAAAGGGACGATTAATTATTCAGAGGTGCATATGCTTGTATAAGAAAAAAAAATCTCATTAAATAGACCTGAGTAAAGTTCAAATTTTAATGATACGGCCATGTCGGAGCTGAAGCTGACCCAGCTCTCTAAAGCGTTTGCTAGGGAATCATGCAGATAGTCCAAAATGTTTTTTAGAAAAGGATTCATCTGTCCCAGGATAGACGTAGAGGAAGCTGGCAGGCAGGCAGTAGGCCCCAAAGAAGGACGGCTGAGCCAGTTCTGAAGCCTGTGGTCCTGTTGGTGAGGAAGGTAACAGCCGTCCAGAGCAGGTGAAAAGAACAGAACTCATTCCTGCAGTGGCTCTTTTGCCTAAAGCAGCATTCCTCAAACTTCTCACTCGAAGCATTAAGTGATGGTGAGATGCTAACACGCACTTTAGATTTAAGTCAAAATTTGCTGTGAAGCCACGGCAAACTCTGGCTTCACGGGTGAATTAGTTGCTACACAAATAAGTTTGATACCTAAGTACAGTAATTGCTTTTCAACCTTATAATAACAAGAAGTTAATAATCAGAAGTTAAACCATGTTTTTTTCTTTTACGAACTAAAAGAAGAGAATGCTTTTGATACTGAGAATGGCACACTTGCGTCAAACCAGATTGTTACTGCATCACCAGACCCGCAATAAATATCTAGAACTTTTCTTACGTGTTTATAAAATAAATCTTAGAAGAAGAAATATTGTAGCTTTTTTTCCTTTTTTTTTTTTTTTTCCGATGAAACTCTCTGAACATTTCACAGAACTTTGTTACTGGGAGTGGTTAGGGAAATGCTGCTTCAAAAAGCCTGTTTTAAGTAGTTGTGAGGCATCAACGTGGAATTTTGCTGTATTGTCAATAACACTCGAGAGTACAGGTTGTATTTCGCCTACCAATGTCAGTACCCTGCCTCGGGATTCTTACCTGTTCATTTGAGCAATTCCAGGGGCCCTCTCTGGATGACCAGATTCTTAAATAGTTGAGACTTTGTGTTACCTCAAATTGTCACCCTCACCTCTGGGCCGGCGTAGGTTAGTGAGGTCGAGAGGCCCACACCATTGGCAGAAGAGAATCATCAGGCGGGGCGTGGTGGCTCACGCCTGTAATCCCAGGACTTTGGGAGGTCGAGGTGGGTGGATCACCTGAGGTCAGGAGTTCGAGACCAGCCTGACCAACATGCTGAAACCCCGTCTCTACTAGAAATACAAAAATTAGCTGGGCATGGTGGCGGGCACCTGTAGTCCCAGCTACTTGGGAGGCTGAGACAGGAGAATTACTTGAACCCGGGAGGCAGAGGTTGCAGTGAACCAAGATCGCGCCACTGCACTCCAGCCTGGGTGACAGAGTGAGACTCCGTCTCAAAAAAAAAAAAAAAAAAGAATTCTCACCTTCCTTTCCCTTCCAAGGATTTTTGTGGTAGTTTTCAATCCTGTAATGTGGCCGTCTTCTCCTCAGAGGGCCTGTGAGAGGCAGACAGCATCTTTTAGCTCAGGTAGAATGCCTGTTGGGGAAAGTCAAATAGGATGGCAGCTGGGGCCGGGACCCTGGGACTCCTTCATCCCCACATACTCAATTGGAAAGACAGAGCAAGTCCCCTCACCTCCCTGGGCCTCAGCTTCCCTGCCTGTCAAATGGAGGGCTCAACTGGGATGAGCTCCAGTTTCCTTCTAGTGCTAATGTGTGTTTGAGGACCCTTGCTGTCCTTTCCAGGGAGCATCAGGAGTATGGGTTAGACAGCAGGAAAGAAGTAGGGGCTTGTAAACGAGAGATCCAAGCTCCTGTACCCTTGGTCCCAGCACCCAGTGCAGCCCTCCCACCCCCAGACATTTAGTTCTAAGAAAAGACAAGAGAATCCACTCCTTGTTCTCTCCCTGTCCCATCACCCCCTCAGTCCCCCACAGATCTGAGGCCAGAGGATGCCAACATGGTGGGCACCCTCTTGCTGTCTTATTCACGTAGGCTTTTCTTGGTGCCTGCACATGGCCCTTGTAAGGCCACCAATGTTACTGGATTATGACCTCATTTAACCTTAATTACTTCCTAAAAGCCGAATCTCCAAGAAGAGCCACATGGGGGGTTAGGGCTTCAACATATGCATTTGGAGGGCATTTACAGTTCAGTCCACAGCACCTGGTCATGTGGAGATCCCAGTCTGCATTCGTGGGAAGAAATCTCTGCTTTTTTAAAGTTTACACACCACCTAGCTGGGCACAGTGGCTCACGCCTGTAATCTCAGCACTTTGGGAGGCCAAGGCAGGGGATCATCTGATGTCAGGAGTTTGAGACCAGCCTGGCCAACTGGTGAAACCCCGTCTCTACTAAAAATACAAAAATTAGCCGGGTGTGGTGGCGGGTGTCTGTAGTCCCAGCTGCTGGGGAGGCTGAGGCCGGAGAATCGCTTGAACCCAGGAGGCAGAGGTTGCAGTGAGCCGAGAAAGCACCACCGCACTCCAGCCTGGGCAACAAAGCAAGACTCCATCTCAAAAAACAGAAAGTTTACACACCAATAGAGCTGAAGGCAAGAGAGTTTGTGGTGGCTCAGAATCGTGATTCTGGAGGAAGCAGACCTGTTTGGAGTCCCAGCTCTGCTCCTTACTGCTGTGGCCTCTCGGAGGCAGCATCCTCATCTGAGGAATCGGGTTGACCTTGTAGGTGGCTGAGAGGCTCCGATCAGGGCTCGCGTGTGAGGCCTTGGCACTGAGCAGAGCACTTCTACTGAGCGCTTAGTCAAAGGCCGTGAGTACCACTGCTGTGCAGCCCTAGGCTCTGGTCTCAGCAATGTCGTCACTCTTTCTGGCTTCCTAAGACTCAGAAGGCAAGTGGGGAAATGGAACCATTTCCTGCCTCTGAAGGCTGTGCCTCAGTGCTTTTGACTCACTCTGAAGACAGCAGGCAGGCCTTTCTGTTTTTTGTTTTTTTTTGGAGACAAAGTCTTGCTCTGTCGCCCAGGCTGGAGTGCAGTGGCGCAATCTCGGCTCACTGCAGCCTCCACCTCCTAGGTTCAAGCAATTCTCCTGCCACAGCCTCCTGAAGCTGGGACTACAGGCGCACGCGGCACACCCGGCTAATTTTTTGTATTTTTAGTAAAGACAAGGTTTCACCATGTGGCCCAAGCTGGTCTCAAACTCCTGAGCTCAGGCGATCCACCCACCTCGGCCTCCCAAAGTGCTGGGATTACAGGTGTGAGCCACAGCGCCTGATCGACAGCCCTTTCACCTGACGCCAAGCACGTCTCCTCCATCCATGAACATTTTGCAACTTTTTTTAAAGAGACAGGTTCACACTACGTTGTCTAGATTGGACTCAAACTCCTGGGCTCAAGCGTTCCCAAGTAGCTTGAGCCTCTCAAGTAACTGTGACTATAACTGCACCTGGCCATTTTAAAAACTTTATTCTTCCTGGTATCAAGGGGAGAAAGAAAAACATTAAAAAATACATAAGACTTTGTTTTGAAATCATTTCAAAATCACAGCAGTTTCAAGGGTACCACAAAGAACATTTTGCCACGTTTTCTCTTTCATTCATTCCCTCTTCTCTTCCCTCACCCCTTTTTCTTCCTCTCCTCTCTGAACCGTGAACCATTTGAGGGTTATTTGTATACATCATGCTCGTTTATCCATAAAATGTTTTTTTTTTTTTGAGACGGAGTCTCGCTCTGCCGCCCAGGCTGGAGTGCAATGGCCGGATCTCGGCTCACTGCAAGCTCCGCCTCCCGGGTTTATGCCATTCTCCTGCCTCAGCCTCCCGAGTAGCTGGGACTACAGGCGCCCGCCACCTCGCCCGGCTAATTTTTTGTATTTTTAGTAGAGACGGGGTTTCACCGTGGTCTCGATCTCCTGACCTTGTGATCCGCCCGCCTCGGCCTCCCAAAGTGCTGGGATTACAGGCGTGAGCCACCGCGCCTGGCTATCCATAAGATGTTTTAGTGAACGTTTCCCAAGAACAGGGACAGCCTCTCACGTGTCCATGGTACAGCTGTCAGAGTTGGGAAATGTGTCATACTCTGATCGGCCCAAGAGTTGCTCATTTGTCGTTCAAGTTTCAGATGTGCCAACCGTCCCAATCACGATTTTGAAAGCCGTTGTTTTTCTGGTCCAGGATCCAATCCAGGATCAGGCACTGCCTTTAGTTATCCTGTCCGCAGCCTGCTGTCATTTGGAGCAGGTCCTCAGCCTTTCTGTGTCTTTCCTGACACGGATGTTTGTGAAGAGTACAGTCCAGTTTCCGTTGTGTCCCTCGAGTTGGTGCCGGAATATTTGTTTAACGTGAGTTGGCAAACCACATTCACGTGTCTTTTGGTTATGTATGTATTTGCCAAACACCCAGCCTTGTGCGAGGTGCTGCTGTGACGGGGAGCATTACTCAACACAGCCTGGCCCCTGACCTTGGGGGTGCAGTTTGGGTTTGTGGGGAAAGCAGCTACCGTCAGGAGGGCTTTACGGACCCCTGTGCGTCTCATGACCAGAGGCACTGACGCTTGGATAAATACATGTTGGATGGATGCAGGATGAGTGGGCGTTCTAGGAGTCTGCAAAGGTACAGAAATGGCCCTGCTCTCTGTCCGGCAGCCAATCATCAGCTTTTCCTGGCTTCTCCGAGGCACCCTGCCGTTCACACTCCAAACACAAAGGCTTTTCTCAGGAATCCCAGTGAGCTGCAGTGTGGGTTCTGCTCCAGGACTGGGCTGCTCTATTCCCGCTTTAGGCCAGTGCTGGGGAGAGGAGACCCCTGTGACTCTCCCCAGTGCCCTTGGAGCTCAGAATGAAGTGACGGGGGAGGAGGGCACGAGCCCTGAAGCGCTGGGAAGACAGGCTGTGGGCCACAGGTCCCGACCCCGCCTGGGACAAGGTTCAACAGAAGTAGGATGGTTTCATCATGAGCTGGCAGGAAAACCATCAGACCTGGAATTTTGCTTTTACAGCTGGTTAACTTCTCTGCTGTTTAACTTCTGTTTCATGCAGGATGAAAACCGGTGACTTATAATCTCACATCACCGAGCAAGATCTAGTAGTCATAAGCATTCTGTCAGCAAAGCAGACAAGGCAGAGTGTTGGAAATGTCATCGGATCTTCACAGAACCTTAGCCGAGCAACCTTTCCATGCGAGAAACAAAATAATGTGGATTTTTATCTAGTAATGAAGTCAACACCATTGTCCACTCTGTTAACACATTCACGTTTCAGAGTTCCCTCCCTGGGGCTGCAGACACTCATGTGAGAGAGACTTGGAATGGCCTGCCTTTTTAAATTTAATTAAAATTAAATAAAATAGAAAATTCAGTTCATCAGTTGTTCTGGTGACATTTTAAGGGTTTATTACTATATGTGGCTCATAAGTACCGTCCTGGACAATGTCGACCTAGAACAGTTCCATCCCTGCGGAGAGTTCTGTGTGATGGCACCGCTCTGCGCTCCCAGCAGCCTGGGGAGCAGGGAAGCAGGAGACAGTTCCGTCCATCTCACAGACTTGGTCACACAGTACAGATTTGACAGCAATTAAATACGACCGCAAACTGTCAATGGCGTGTTCTGTGGAATGCTGGGATGGATCAGAGGTGTGTTGGAAGATGGATAGAATTTTACTTCTTCTGTTACTCTGGTAACTCAGAGTCCTGTTCAATCAGTTTCCGCATCAGGATGCTGTCCTCGTGGTTTTAAAGAGGACGAATGCAGCCAGCGTTGAATCGAGGCGGTGATT